CGGGAACACAGGAAATGGTCAATGAAATAAGTTATGATTCGGAGGTTCCCAAGCCCTTACCCAAGCACTGGACTATGATCAACTATACACATTTCCCACGAAAGCCATCTGTTTGTTGTATCTCTTCCCTTGCATTTATTGCCTCTGAACCTACACTGCACCTATATTTAAATTGGTCACTCTGAGAAAGGCTAAAATTACAAAACAATACTGTCATTTTGGATCCTGAAGTCCAGACCCAAAGGTCTAGAACTTTGTAGATTGTCTATGCTGTGTGCCTGAACACAGGCAGCATGTAGCGCAATCCTCCAGATATAATGACTTAAGGCCACTTGGTGAGAGGATACACAACTGGCAAAAGGGTATTTCTAAATTATAATAATTATTTGAACAATGCATTGATGAAAATCACTCTGATCAACTGAAGATATGACCTCAAACTTCCCAGGTTTTAAATCTGTTTCATTTGTAGTGAAAGTATTTATGTATCTAGACAAAAAGCAACATCTTTTAAAAGGCATGCTGTTTCATGGAGAAGGGATCTAAAATAATGCCGACAAAACACCCCTTTATTGTATTATTCAAAACACAGAGACACAAATGTATGTGGATTTAATCTCCTAATACTAGTGCATTAAAACTAATTAAGCTAGTGCATTAAGATTGAATACAATTCTGGCGGAAAGGTGGGCTATAAATCCAATAAATAAATAAATATCATTGTTAAAATCAGATGTCCAAATGAATAGCGCACTACTTTTAAGAGTATTTCTGTCCTGTTAGAGAGGGCTTCACTGTGAAGAAAAGCAGACTCTGTGCCAAATGTTTAGGCAGCAATTTTATTAAGCAACCTTTCACAACAAGGTCCCCAGAAAATGTTTTTGAATACAATACTCATTGGACTCATACACAATAGCCAGGAATGATGGAAGTTATAGGCCACAATGTGGAGAAGGCAGTTTCAGATATCTCTGCAACTCCATGGTTGGCATTCAGGATGTCTTCACCTTGTCACTAAGTACATTTTATTGATTAGCCCATCAGCCGCATCAAAACACTTGACAAACACATTTAACACACAACCTCCACTACAACAAAAGTTAAAATAAACAAGCTGTTAACAAGGAATCAAGATCCCAATCCAGATCAAATATCTGCTGTCTGGTTTTAATATAAGGATCCCAGTGTGTCTTTTGTATAATGAATTGTCCAAGGTATTGGTTTCTTTCTTTCTTATACAAGTTACAACTAAACAGTACATGTGTGATATCTTTTACTTTTGACACTCCAAAGATACAAAATCGTTCATTATATGGAACTCGGTGAAACTTTCCATGTTTGACCTTGGCAAAACTCATTCAGAAGGGGTTTCCCTCCCTGGAGGCTGAGAGAGTGTAACTTGCCCAAGGTCACCTGCGAATTTCCATGGCAGGAAGAGGATTTGAACCCAGAGTTATAGCGTCTTACTTTCTTTGGGCCCACTAACTGAATGTTAGGAGTTCCAGTGCCATAACATATAAAAGGTCTTCAACAGCTTCAAGTTTTCCATGATCATTGAAAACTTTAACAAAGAGAATCCAGGTGCAGAAGTTTGTTTTATGCCACCCATCTGTCAAGAACAGTGAATCAGAATATTGTAGGTTAGCAAAGAGAAACACTTTTTTCCAACTTTTATGAAGAAAAAACCCCAATTTCTTATTCATAAACAGAGTCAGTTCTACCTTAGTGGTATGAATAATTAAGGCTTGGTCTGATATTTCGAGAAATTGGACCACTGTCCTTTAAGACACTTTCTTGTGTCAAGACTGAAACCCACGATCTCTGCAGAATCCCTATCACTCTCTTTTTGAAGAAACAAGACAGCAGGAGCACCTGTGCAGGGTTGCTATGACAACAGAAAATGCTGGCAAAAGTTTTGCCTAGTTTATTTGTCTGAGTGAGAAGCAATGCTCCTATTTCCTCTTCCCCGTATCTCTCGGCCAAATGAGACAAAAGGAATGAGAGGAACGTTTGCCTTTGAGGAAAGCCGACAAACAGAGCATCAGGCACCGGGTCAAGGTGATGTAAACAGAGAATAGCATTGCCATCTCTCCCCATCCCAGAGATGCAGGCCAGTCTCTCCAGAGCATTTTCTTCACTACAGCATTATTCCTAGAACTTTGCATTACCATTAGGACTGTTGGTGGCTTGGCTTTTCAGCACAACAGCTTGGATTTCTCTTTTGAAACCCCCTTCTTAGTTCTGTATTGGAAAGGACATTTTGGTCCTTGGTTTAATACAAGTTGAATGGACTGCTAACAAGCCTTCTAGCTTTTAAAACAGAGACCATCCAGTATGAAAAGAGCAGTATAAATCTATTTGCTGGATTCCATTCATAAACACCTAGAGATGAACAAAACCTGGCTCTGTTTTATCAGACACAAAATCTTGAGCTACATGAAATTGAAGGACACCGGCTCTGTATGAGCTATTCACTTGCCCAACACAAAACAGGCTAAAATTACAAAAACACAATCAAGTTCACCAAAATAAGACTCTCTAATTACATTCATATCATGTCATCTGATCCAAAAATACCAAACGACACCATGATTGCCTATTGTCTCTCAATAACCATTTCGCTGCATTGTTTTAAGTATGCCACAATGACTTCCACAATAGAAACTACACAATAACGCCCTGCAAAAGAATGAAACGCTAAAATGCTGTAAAGGTTTAACAAAAGGGGATGATTCTACTAGGTTACAACCTTCAATTATATAATTTCAAATAAATTCAAGCAGCAATTACAACCTCTTTCTAACACTGAATTTAAATTGTACAAATCAAACAATACATACCAGCATACATTTGACTTACTGTGTGAAATAAACCTTTATAATAGATCCATCTGGTTGACCCATTCCAATTAAAATATTGGGGGATGTACATATTTTGCCCTTTATATGGCATTTAAAGGAAAAAACTATTCTTTCAAGCCTCCCTTCTGAAAAGTGTCTGAAACGGATTTAAGCTAACCCTTCACACCTGAAAGTGCACAAAGGTTTTGAAGGAAAAGATGAAACGTTTCTTTTGCAGCAAAGTAAGCCTGTCACATAAACGCCCATCCTATTTGCCATTTTTGTGCCTATTTAATATCAAATCCTTCTGATTTGAGAGAGAGAAAGAAAATAAAGATATATAGGCCACAAAGCACATTCTCCGATCTTCCACGCTTCAAACAAAAGGAAAGGGAACCAATTGGGAGTCAAATGACACTTTAGGACTGATCAGAAAGAGGCTGCACAAAGAGAAAAGCAGCCAGAACAGCAAAAGTTCACCGGAAGGTGAGGATGAGAGATGAGCCCATGAGCGGCAAGAGTCCACTCAAAAGCAGATTAAGAAGGGGTTTCCCCCCCTAAGAATATGAATATTCACAGAAATGAGGGATGTGCCCTCTGGGAAGAGTGGCCCTGAAAAAGGTGAAAAGGGAGTCAGGAGATCCTTAGATGGGACTGTAACTCAGGTACATGCTTCACCTGGAGAAGTCCCAATCTGGGGCAGATTGGGAAGGGAGAAAAGGAGTCCCCAGTTCAAAAAGATCTCACTGATCAAAGTAGGGTGGAGAGTAGTTGAACTGGAGTAATGATCCAATTCTGTATGTAAACCAGATTCATTGCTAGCTATTGGGGGGAGGGGGGCTAACAGGAGAAAAAGTCAGGATAGGACAGAAAAGGCTACAAGAGTTCAGACAGAGGAGAACAGAGATTTGAATACTCTGCTGGTCTGAAGAAGGGTCCAGCAGAACAAAATGGGAGAGGATGAAACCACTCCTGGGGTGCATCACAGGCTGAACTATCTATCTATCTATCTATCTATCTATCTATCTATCTATCTATCTATCTATCTATCTATCTATCTATCTATAATAAAAGTGAAAATATGTTTGTATGTATGAATGTATGCTTGTACCTATGTGTCCAAGATGGCTCTCACATTGAGAGAGTCCCATGACTCCTGCCAGCGACAAATCTGGACCAAATTTGGCACGCAGACCCCCACAGGACCAAATTTCAGTCCTGACAAGTTGGGAGGGAATTGTCCTTGGATGTTGGGAGTTATAGTTCAGCCACAAACAAAAGACTCCTCTAAACCCAGCTGATGATGAATCTGGGCCAAACTTGGTACACACACTCATCATGGCAAACTTTGAATACTGGCCAGGTTTGGGGGGTGGGGACTGACCAGGACGTTAGGAGCTGTTGTATAGCCACATTTTTTGGCCTTTTCGAATAGGTCTACTTCTAAAAACCAACGCCATGCAACGACAGACAGCTTCTAATGTGGATCCTTCTGAAAGAGCAAATGCTCTTTTGAAAGAGAGTATGAAAAGAAATCTAGGGCGGGAGGGAATGAGAAGTCGGTGGGTCAGTCAGGGCTGAGCTGTGAAGGGGTCATGGGGGCAGGGAAAGCAAAGGCCATGGGCCAATAAGAGAGGCGGCTGCGTAGGAGAATGAATGGGCAGGGTGGCGGGGGGGGGGGGAGAGGCCAAAGGAGCCAAGGAGGGCACAGGACCAAGGCTAGTGCTGGGAGTGGGGTGAGGGGCTGACTGTACTGGTTTGCACAGTGGGAAGGGGGGGAGAAGTCTTGCATTGGGGGTTATGGGGCAAGTCTTGGCTGTGAGAGGGGGTTGTCTGAAGAAGACTGGAGCAGATTGGGAAGGGGAGAAAGGGAGGGCAGACAAGGCCAAGGGATGTGGGGCACTAGGAAGCGACCCAGGAGGGGGCGGGGCCTGTTTGGGGGGGGGGGTAGAAGCAACTGAAGGGAAGAGCTGGAGGAGAGGCAGGCGAAGGAAGAGCGGGGGTGGGGTGGGGGAGAGAGAGAAGAGCGAGCCTATCTGCCCCAAAGGAAGCCAGCACTCGGAGGGGGGAGGGCGGGTTCTAAGGGCTGCCCCCTTCCCTTATTCTCCAAAGGAACCCCTCCCCCAAAAAGGACTACCCTGTGCCCTCTGCTCCCCTCACCATTTGCGGACTTTCTCGATGGCGGCCATCACCCGCTTGATATCATCCTTGGCGCGGCTGCGGGTTTCGGCCCGCACCGACCGGCCCGACATGCTGCTGAGGCGGCGAAGGGGGTTGGACGCGGCGCGGGGGGGGGGGGAGGCAGGCTCCGAATGGACGGCTCCCTCCCTCGCTGAGGCGGTACAAGAGGCAGCGGCAGCAGCAGCAGAGGGAGAACAAGTCCGGCCTGGCTGGTTGGCCCCCTCACGCACAATGAAGGCTCCTCCCCGCCTCAGCCCGCCTCGAGGGAAGAAGGCAGGCAGGGAGGGAGGAGCAGCACGCGGAGGCGGCACTGCGCAGGCGCCAGCGCGGAGCACGTAGCCTTCCCGAGCCCGTTGGGGGCGGGACCTGTGCGAGAGGCAGCCTTCCCGCCCATTTGGCCGCTGAGGGCATGGAGTTCCCTCAGGGTTGGCCCTCTACCTTGGGAAAGGCTCGTTGTCTGTTGACGCCTAGCCTTTCCAAAAGTGAAGAGCCAAGCCTGAGGGGACTTGAGGCGTTTAACGACCGCCTTCTAAAACACCTTCTTTTCTGCAGTCCATAAAGCACCATTTGTACAAAGGAGAAGACCAGTCCCAAAACATCGCAAGCCCAACCACAAGTTCCCATAGGGCTGGTGTCCAAAAGGAAAGCCCGCCAGGCCCTCCATTTCTTCTTCGAAGAGACCCCAAACGCCATGCAGTCCCAATGCCATTCGCTATTTTATGTGTCACAAGCCAGTTGAGAATACTGTTACAATGTATTAAAAAATACAAGGAAAGTTAAAAGCTTGGCATTATACCAGATTTCCGCTGACCAGAAGCTGGCCACTTGGAATGCCTCTCGTGTCACTGTGAGAAGGTCCTCAATTGTGTATGTGGTTGCGATGTAATAGGTCGTCAGCAGTTTGCTCTTCACACGTGCATGTTGTGGACTCCACTTTGCAGCCCCATTTCTTAAGATTGGCTCTGCCTCCGGTAGCGCCAGAGCGCAGCCTGTTCTGTGTGCCCAGGAGGGAGTTTCTCGTCTGGTTTCAGCCACTGATTGAGGTTCTGGGTTTTAGCTTGCCATTTTTGGATTCCCGCTTGCGGAGGTATTCCTGCAAGTATCTCTGTAGATCTTAGGAAGCTGTCTCTTGGTTTAAAGCGTTGGCGTGCTGGCTGATATCCAAACAGGATGGGACAGAGATGCCCATGCCTTGGTCCTTTCATTGCTGGCTGCTACTTCCCGACAGATGTCAGGTGGTGCAATACCATCTAAACCAGGGGTCCTCAAACTAAGGCCCGGGGGCCGGATGTGGCCCTCCAAGTTCATTTACCTGGCCCTCGCTCAGGGTCAACCTAAGTCTGAAATTACTTGAAAGCACACAGCAACAACAATCCCATCTCATCAGAGATAGTTTATATTTGTTAAAATTGTTCTTCATTTTAATTATTGTATTGTTTTAAAGTGTGTTTTGCACTATAAATAAGATATGTGCAGTGTGCATAGGAATTAATTAATGTTTTTTCCCCAAATTATAATCCGGCCCTCCAACAGTTTGAGGGACTATGACCTGGCCCTCTGTTTAAAAAGTTTGAGGACCCCTGATCTAAACAGCATGATTTCTCCAGCAGTGTAGAGCGTAGACATCCTGTGATAATGTGGCATGTCCCAATAAGAGACACATCCCCTTTTTTTGTGTTTTTTTTCCTTTTTTTATTATATACTAGTTTGGGGACCCGGCACTGCCCGGGTAATTTGAGAAAGGAATTATGTATCAAGGTTGCTTATTTATCAGTGATTTATATGGCTCGCAGTGGTCTCAGGAAGTTAGTGAAGGTACTGCGAGTCCCATCATCTGTGGTCCTTCCTCCTCCAAACTGCACCAGAATGGAGAATGGGTCGTGGGGGCTCTGTGTGCCAAGTTTTGTTCTTGATCAGTCATTGGGTGAGGGTCACAGTGGTCTCAGAAAGTGAGTTTAGGTACTGCAAGTCCCATCAGCCATAGTCTGTTCTCCCCCAAACCTCACCAGAATGTTGAGTTGGCCAAGGGGGCTCTCTGTGCCAAGTTTGGTCTTTCTTGGTATTTGGATAAGTGTCACTGTGGTTTCAGGAAGTGAGTGAAGGTACTGCAAGTCCCATCATCCATTGTCCGTCCTCCTCCAAACAGCACCAGGATGCAGAGTCGCTCTTGGTCGGGGATGGACCATGGATTATGGGACTTGCAGTACCATTGCTCCATTCTTGAGACCACTGCAACCCTCATCCAATTACCGATAAAGACCAAACTTGGCACACTGAGTCTCCATGACCCACTCTACATCCTGGTGTAGTTTGGAGGAGGATGCACCATGGACGATGGGGCTTGCAATACCTGCCCTCCCTTCCTAAGACCATTACAACTGCCAACAATGATGGATCAGGACCACAATTTACACAGAGAGCCTGCATGACCCACTCTACATCCTGGTGCGGTTTGGAAGAATTTGACAATGGATGATGGGACTTGCAGTCACTTCACTCACTTCCTGAGACCACTGAGACCTTTGCCAATGACTGATCAAGACCAAACTTGGCACAGAGAGTCCCCATGACCCACTCTACATCCTGGTGCACTTTCGAGGAGGACAGACATGGATGATGGGACTTCAAGTACCTCCACTCCCTTCCCAAGACGGCTGCAACCCTCATCTAATGTCCGATGAAGACCAAACTTGGGACACAGAGCCCCCATGACCCACTCTACATCCTGATGCTGTTTGGAGGAGGATGGACGATGGATGATGGGACTTGCAGTACCTTCACTCACTTCCTGAAACCACATGATCAAGATGGTTTCAGAGTATGTCCAAATACATCTTGATATTACATCAATAAAAAAGAAAACAAGAATGGGAGCAGGCAACAAAGTACTCTCTTATGACTAGAGCTTTCTGACTATTTTACATACATAGGCATGGACAACTGGCAAAGACCCAATTTGCGTAAAATGAAAGATGTCCAAAACCATAATCAAATGTTTCATTAGCATTATGCCAACATATACAACTTTTCCAGGAATCACTTTTTTCTATTGTATAGCATTCCAGCTTGTCCACATAGTATTACATATTTCTTTTTATTTCTTTTTTTTTAATTCTTTCCCTTCTCTTTTATTTTTTTTCCCTTTTTCTCCCTTCCTTTTCTTTTCTTGAGAACCATACATAAACATCCACATAATATTCACATCTCAGGAGTTCCACCATAACACATATACCATGGAAAAGAAAGTCACACCAAAAGAGCAACAAAGGATTCCTCATCATTTCTTTCTTCAGAAGGAAGTCAAACTATTTGATGAAAAACAGGATTTTGTATTAGTCGGTTTTGGAATCCCCATGTTGAAATAGCCTTTCCTTCTAAAAACCTTTTGAAGGGTTCCCAGTATTCCGAAATTCTGAAGGGTCTTTTGACTGGAGATACCCCGTCAGAATGTCCATCTCTGCCACTTCTGCCACTTTCACAATCCATTCCTCCATTTCCGGTGTTTCCTCCAATTTCCAGGCTCGTGCATAAACGATTCTTGCAGCAGTTACCATCAAGGTGAAGAGTTTGTCGTGTGACTTCAACAGTGATCTGTCTGTTATTCCGAGTAGAAATGTTTCTGGGTGCATAGGTATTTTTAGCTTTAAAATTTTTTCAATAATTTTATGGATCTTAATCCAAAAGCTTTTTGCCTTCTTGCAAGACCACCACATATGGAAAAATGATCCTGTTGCTTGTTTACATTTCCAGCAAGTGTCTTTTAATTGTGGCTGCATTTTGGCTAATTTAGCAGGTGTCATATAGGACTGATAAAACATTTTATAGAAATTTTCCAGAAGATAATAGCTTCAGAAAATTTTAATTTTTACACTCCAGAGATATTCCCATTTATCCAAGCTGATCGAATGTCCAATGTTTTTGGCCCATTTTACCATGCATTCTTTGATATATTCATCTTCTGTATGCAATTTTAACAGGAGGTTGTAGAGCTTAGAGAGTTGTTTATTTCTTGATTGTAGTATCTTGTCAAAATCTGTCTTTTCTAGTTCAAATCCTGTGTGCACATCTTTTTGATACTGTTGGTGTATTTGCGCATATTCAAACCAGTTCATATTATAGCCTTGTTGGTTTATTTCTGTCAGTGTTTTCAATTGAAGATTACCTTGTGATTTCTTGAGTATTTCCACATATGTTGGCCATATTTTACTATCTTTAGAGTTTCCACTTTGTTTGAAAGCTTCCTGGATCGAAGTCCATTGTGGTATTTTTGTATAAAATGTTTTTTTATACTTGTTCCAAATTTTCATCAAGGTTTTCCTAATTGGGTGTTTGTTGAAATTTGGATCTTCTGCCACTTTTCCATAAATTAAGTAGGCATGTAAGCCAAATTTTAAAGTATCTTCTTCAAGAATTATGAGACTTTGATTGTCAAGATGAATCCATTCTTTTAGCCAATTCAATATAACTGCTTCTCTATATAATTTTAGGTTTGGGAGAGCCAATCCTCCTCTTTGTTTAGTGTCTTGTAGATTTTTCATCTTTATTCTAGGCTTCTTCCCTCTCCAAATAAATCTCGTAAGTTCGGCATTCCAATTTGTAAGTTCTATTTCCTTAATGCCCACTGAGATGTTCTGGAACAAGAAGCATAGTCTAGGTAGAATATTCATTTTTATTGTGGCTATTCGCCCTAGGAGAGAGATCTCCAAGTTCATCCATTTTTTCAGGTCATTTTTTTATTTTATTCCAAGTTTTTTCATAGTTATTTTTGTACAGATCCTTGTTATTCATTGTTATATTTATTCCTAAATATTTTGCTTGGAGGGCTATTTCAATTCCTGTTTCTTGACTTAGTTCTTCTTTTTCTTTATTATTTAACTTTGTCCCTAAAATTTTTGTTTTGCGTAGATTGATTGAAAGACCCGCAACTAGTCCAAATTGATTGACCAAGTGTATCATTTTAGGAAAGTCCTTCAATGGGCTTTCTGACATTAAAATAATGTCATCCGCAAATAGCTTTAGTTTATATTTTTGGTTTTTCACTTTTATACCTATTAGGTCTTCATCTTGGCGTATTTTTCTTGCTAGAATTTCTATTGCGAGTATAAATAATAAGGGTGAGAGGGGGCATCCCTATCTCACACCTCTCTGTATTGGAAATGATTCGGTCATATCTCCGTTAATTTTAATTTTGGCTCTTTGTTCTTGAATTCCGTTAATGATTTTTTCGCCATATCTTAGGTTCTTTAATAGTTCAATAATAAAATTCCAGTTTAGTCTGTCAAAGGCCTTTTCAGCATCCAATAATAAGAGTGCCCCCTTTTTAACTTTTGCATTTTGAATGTGTTCAATTATGTTTAAGATTATCCTTGTTGTCTTTAACTTGCCTTCCAGGTAAAAAACCTGCTTGATCAGATTTGATCCAACTGCTCAGTGTTGATTTTAATCTGTTTGCCAATATTGATGTAAATATTTTATAGTCTATATTTAACAACGAGATAGGCCTGTAATTTTGAACCAGTTTTTCGTCGTAATTTTCTTTGTGGATTAGAATAATGCTGGCCTCCTTCCATGTCTCTGGTATTTGATTTGTTTCCAGTGCAGAGTTCATTATTTTTTTTAGTATTTGTGTTATTTCATCTTTCATCATCTTGTAGTATGTCGCTGTATGGCCATCTGGGCCTGGGGATTTATCTGTCTTTAAGTTCTGGATTGCTTCATCAATTTCCTGTGCTGTTATTGATCCATTTAAGCGTTCCTGCTCTTCTTCAGGAAGGGTTGGAAGCTTTTGAGTTTTGATGTATTCTACTGCTGCTTCTGTTGAGCCTTCTTCATTTTTGTATAGATCCTCATAAAAATCTTTTAGATGTTGTTTAATCTTTTGTTGTTCTCTAATTTCTTTATCTTCATGTTTCAATGAAGATATATATATATATATATATATATATATATATATATATATATATATATTGGTGTTGTGTTTTAATTTTAATTTATTTGATAGCCATCTACCTGGCTTATTTGCATGTTGAAAAAATTTCTGTTTACTAAAGTTCAGTCCATTTGTTCCACCAAAATCATTGATGCTTGGATTCTTAATAGTTTTAGTTCTTCAGCTAGTTTTTTATCTTTTGGTTGTTTATTGTATTCACGTTCTTTTTCTTTGATTTCCAATTGAATCTTGTGCAATTTAGCTTTCACTTTTTAACGTGGTGAGATGTATTCCACACTGGGCATGCGCATTCAGCAGCAGAGTAGCAAAGCGCAAGGGCAGATGTCTTCACTGTGTCTGGTTGTGACCCCAGGTTGTGCAATCAGCTTTCATATATTATTATCTGGCACCCACTTTTTACTTGATAGTCAAGCAGTGCTTCTTGTAAGTCAGGGCATGGTCCAGAGTGACTCCCAGGTATCTGGGTGTGCTGCAATGCTCCAGTGGGATTCCTTCCCAGGTAATCCTCAGAGTTCAAGATGCTTGTCTGTTCTTCAGGTGAAAAGCACCTGTCTGCATTTTAGATGGGATTAGGAATCTTCTGGTTTTCCCTGTAGTAGGCAATAAGAGCACCTAAAGCTTTGAAGAGCACCTAAAGCTTTCAACCGTTTCAAAGCTCCCTGTTTAAGCGGTGATGGCACAATTGTCAGCATAGATTGAACTCTCTGTCCCTTCTGTCAGTGGCTGGTCATTTGAGTAAATGTTAAACATTGATGGTGCAAGCACGCTTCCCCGAGGCAGACTGTTCTTCTGTCTTCACCATCTGCTTTTCTGGCCCTGAAACTCAACAAAAAGCTCCTGTTTTGTAGCAGATTTCCTATAAAGCAAGTAAGGTGGTAGTCCTTTGTGATATTATACATTTTTTTTCTCAGGAGGAGGTGATGATTTCCAGTGACATATGCTGCTGACAGGTCTGTGAAGACAGCTTCTGTAACTTGCTGCCTTCCAAAACCATCTTCAATGTGCTGAGTCAGGTCCAACACTTGTGATGTGCAGCTTTTCTCTTTCCTGAAAGTAGCTTATTGTGGGATCATAAATCGGTCTATTTTTTCCATAATTCTGTGCAAGATAAGTATCTCCAGCACTTTATAAAGACGGCTCAACAAGAAGATTGGTCTATACCTTTTTGGATCATTACGGTCTCTGCCTTGTTTCAAAAGGCCTATGACTCTTGCTTTCCTCCAAGTTTTAGGGATCTGTCAGGATGCAATGCTATTTGCTGATACGGGGCTTTCCAAATTCCAAACCTTTCATGTTGGGGACACGTTTTTCAAGCCTGCACCATAGTCCTTCAGGGACTGCAAGCAGATACCCTAAGTCATGCAACCTCAAACTGCGGACCTCCAACTCCCAGAAGCCCTTGCCATCTTGTTCAATGAACAGGAATTCTGGGAGTTGGGTGCCCAAACAGCCAGAGGGCCTCAGGTTGAGGAGGCCTGCCCTCCGAGGTCTTACTTTGGCCATGATGGACTTACCAGGCCAAACCTCCAACATGTTTTGTTGCCTTGTTTTGGTCAGCAAGCCATAGTTGAAACATTTGACTTCTTAGCCATTAACAAGATGGGTCTTAGGACAGTATAGTTGGTTTTCTTTGGGCTGGTAAAATAGTTCTTTCCCCCTCCTGTATACCAACTTGTTTTACATTGTTCTGTTGTTTCTCATGTCTCCATCTCAAGATTGGATCATTTAATCAAATATAGACATCTATTGATCCTGTGGGGAAGCTAAACCTTTCATTTGTAAGGGAAAGAAGGCCTTGGGTTGGAACGGTCCTACTAGATTAGGGTCCAGTTCTAATTTACTAGGTCATTCTTGGTCATAAGATAGTTGGAGAGGCTCACTGGGGTTTATCAGGCAACGGAAGTTGTCTTTAGGAAAAGGCGAAAGATTTATATGATCTGAAGAGAAACTAGAGTATACGGAGGTTGTTTCCCAAAACCAAGACCTAACTGGAAAATAAGCCCTATTCCGATTTCTCAGGACCTTGTATTATAAGTGTTGTTGAACACAGCACCCCACCCTGATGATTTATAGTTCTCTAAGGGTGCCGTAATAAAATGAATGATTTTTCTTCCCTTCTCTACTGAATTTTCATGACTCCAGCAAAGAGCAAGACTGGCAGGCAAACTAGCAGCCACAACTCCCCTTAAAGCACATTTTTATATATCTTCTTTAGTAAAGGTCCGCAGATACGTACTGATACATGTGCGGACCAGATCTGCAGCAGCAAATCTTGCACAGAGATGCGATCCCTTCCCAACACTTTAATCAAATATCTCTTCCCTTACAACTTTTTGCCTATTGTGTATTGTAACGACCATTACAATATTCAAAAATGACACAAGTCTTGTTTTAGTGAATGAGATATTTTTGATTAAATAGATATAATTTCTAGAGAGGCTTACAGACAACATAGTTAGAGCGATGAATAAAAAAGAGTGAGAACCTCTAAAGGCATTCTATGACAGATTACTGCTGTTGGGAGTTTCTGACTCTCCCAAAGTGGGTTCAGGCATCGGAAGGCCCAGAAGGTGCATGGTGAAATGCGTTGCTGTGATTTCTTCTGGAATATCTTCCTCAATAAATAAATCAGCACCTGCAGGACGTTGGAGGAGGAAAACCAGAAGAAAAAAAGATTAATTGACACCAATGGAGTTCATTCTGGAGGACTCACAGTTTGGACCACACCATGAAATGACCTTCAATGGCTCAAGTAAGGTCAAAAGATGAGGCCAGGTTGGTAATAACTCTTGCGTACTATATTGATAGTGGCCATGAATGAACTGCATGGATTTGCCTTTAAGTTAGCTTTACCTCTAGGCCAAGGGTATCAAACTCATTTTTACAATGGCTACATCAGTCTTATTGCACTATGTAACAAAAATTGGAAAGAAAAATCTTTTCCTGGTTTGAAAGTGTGATCAGAAACTGTTTTTGTGGCTGCCACAAAATCTGTTGAATTGCTTGAGACTCAACAAGATATTCATAAAAAAAACTGGAGCAAAATGTTTTGCAGGATGTCCTGCAAAAACAAAGTTTTTGAAGCTTAATAAACCTTTTCCATGTTTTTTATAATAGAACCAATTAGGAAATAACATTTATAACCCAGGAACAAAAATAATGTTAAATAGTGTTATGGTTGTCTTCAAAGGGCCATTGATTCCATGGACAGAGAATCGATGCATACAGAGGGCCAACTATTTATTTTTTTACCTAGCGGTCAGTGCTCTTTAATTATTACCCAGTTTGGGCCCCCAGATGTTATTGAGTGACAGCTCCCATCACTTTGGATGATCTGCCATGCGGACTGGGGATGATGGGAGCTGCAACCCAACAGCCCTTGTGGCTCTGAGATTGGGAAAGGCTAAAGGACATTTTAATGTCAGACATCATATTCACACGCCTTGTCTCTGAATCGAAACTCCACTGTCCTGACTAACCAGAACCAACTCCAGCCTTCCAGATGTTCCTATATCCCAACTCCCATCAGCTCTAGTAATCTAATGATGAAGAATACAGGAGTTGGAATCCATGTTTTAGCCCTGCTGTACCCCGCAAGGAGAGGCGGGATAAAAAAAATATATAATTATGATTTATATAACCTTTCTGCCGCACCAATATAATGTATTATCTTAATTTTACTGAAGTACCAGTATTGTATTTCTTCTGTTCTATTTTCCTATATAAACATCTGTAAAAATTGAGTGTGCCTTATTATCACAGGTATATCATGCATTTTTATTGGTGGTGGTACTGAAATTACTGTGTCTTTCAATTGAAGAAATAGCTGTATTATTCTGTTACTCGTCACGACTCCAAAATATGATATTACATAAGTATTCAGATATCATTTTTGTATTAAAACAACTAAGGACAAGTTTGTACCCCAGTGATTCCAAATATTTATGAACATAGTCAATCACAGAAGCCAAATGCCTATAGAAGTTTTGGTAAGAAAAGGAAATTTCATCATCTCCCTAGACCTAGGGTGTTTATCTGCAGCCAACAGAACATAGAAATAAATCAAGCAATGCAAAACAGGCCAGTTGGCAATAGAGAGAGGCTTCATTGGCATCATTTATATTAGCTTATCAGGGTGAGGGGCTGAAGAACTACTAAAGAAGGCATTGTTGGAGCTCAGCCACATCCTGCATAAGCTTGTAGTTCCCATCAAGGAGCATACAACTCCCCTGGCTGCCAGTTTGCTACTGAGCACAATTCAAAGTGCTGGCTTTAGCCTATAAATCCCTAAATGGTTCCAGCCCAGGAGAAGATTCCAGCCCAGCTTTCCTGTTGATCCATATCTCCCTCTATGAACCAACTTGGAGATTAAGATCTTCTGGGGAGGCCCTGCTCTCGGTCCCGCCTCCTTCACCGGCATGATTGGCAGGGATGAGAGACAGAGCCTTCTCAGTGGTGGCCCCTCAACTATGAAACTCTCTCCTCAGTGAAATCAGATCGGTTCCCTCCCTTCTAGCCTTCAGAAAGAGAGTTAAAACATGGCTTTGCAACCAAGCTTTTGGGGAATAACTACAGTGTAATAAATAAACAGAATTTGTGCAATAACATTCAGAATGGCCCTGGATTATAAATTTTGATTATGTGATTTTGAATAATTGATGTAATTGTTTTTAGATGTTTTAACTCTCCGGTTTTTAATGTAGATGTTTACCAATTGTATGTTATTTTAAGGTACTGAATTGTTGCCAATATGTGAGGCCGCTCTGAGTGCCCTCAGGGTTGAGAAGGGCGGGATACAAATATGGTAAATAACAGATTGGCAGATGAGTTAGCTGGCAGGGAAAAGTGCTTCCCTATTGGCCTCTGTGTCAACCTGTCACTCTGTTCTCTCCTTCTATCACCTTTCTGGTTAGACTGATACTTCTCAGAAACACGCTTCGCTTTCTGAGCACATGACAAGCTCCTGGCTCCATTTTGCTCTTCTCTTGTGAGCATGAAGAGAGACAAGGTGTCTGCTGTGATTTAGTTAGTAAGATAGCTAAGCCCTGTTAACTGTTCTATCTAGTGATGTAGTTCTTTGAATAAAGTCTTTTATATCTTTTTAAGCTTGACTCTGCTTCTGTATTGGTGAAGCTCGATTGTTCTACTGCTGGTACTCAAAGCTTCTGATCTGCCAAACTGCTGGTAATGCAGTTGTTGTTGGTTTACCATTTTTAAATGCTTTTTTCTTTTTGAAAATTAGCCCCTACCGCCAACAAGTATTTCCCTACCAGGGGACAAGACTAGAACTAATTTGGTTTTGCAAATCTGTAGAACTGGGACATGCTGAGTATACAAAACAGTTTGGTGGACTCCTTTTTGCTCAAAGCGTTGGTGTACCTGTGGGGTCGTAGGTACCAACCTCGCCGCGGCCCCCCTCTGGATTTACCCCCAACAAAGTGGTGAGGCATTCGGTCAGCTCAGTTTCTGTGAAATGCTCTCCTGTATGAAGTTAAGGGAACACGCTGATCAGTTGCTGTTGTAAGGGAGCCCCCTTGCCATCAAACTGGTTTTAGGGCCAACGCTGCACACCTGTGTTTTGAAGCAGCAAAAGCAGCTCATCCCTGTTGATGGTAGCTTCTCCGTTCTCATCCTCGTAGCCCAGGATGTGAAAGGCACGCTGTATTTCATTCCTCGACAGCCCAAACGCTGGCCGGTGATTTATGTAAAGCTTGATAAAGTCCCCCAAATTGATGCTGGTCACTTGCTTTCCAGTCTCCAGGTATTCACTGAATTTGACTTCATTCAACATATTTTCAATCTAAAGAAATAAAGAAGTGGGATCACAAACAGAATCCTTTGGTAATTTTGTTCTACCAATACTTATAGTCCAGATTTAAAACACCAGTGAAGATCTATCTCTTCCAGCAGGCCTACCCAATCAGTTTTAACTATGAGTTTCAAAATCACATTCTATGTTTATTGTGTTTTAACTTTTGTCTCATGTATTTTAATATGGGCATATTTTAAAGTATGCTATTATGGTTTCATTTTAACAACCGTATTTCATCACATAATAGTCGCATTTCCCCCCCCTTTTTTTTTTTTGAAAAAAAATGCTTTTTATTTAAGATGCCTTATCTCTAAAAGGGGAAGAAGAGGAGGAGGGATGATCCAGCCTCAAACAAATAGCTCTGTTTCTGTTTATTTGTTTTTTAAAAACTGCAGAGCCATTTAGGGTTGATTCTCCCTTCCTTCCCTTCTTTCTCTGAAGACAAGGAAGTTCAAAAACTATGAAATGGAGCTCCAGAGACTTCCATTTCATTGTTTTTAAACTGCCTTGCCTTCAGAGAAGGAAGGAAGGAAAGGAGGAAGGAAGGAAGGAAGGAAGGAAGGGAAAATCAGCCCAAAATGTGGGTGTGGCTATTATGCTATGGAATGTTCTAATATGTGGTTTTATCTGACTATATTGTGCCCTGCCTTGAGCCAATAGGAAAGGCAGGTAATAAGTAAAATGTATTATTGTTGTTGTTGTTGTTGTTATTATTATTATTATTCTCTAAAAGGACACAGTTTGAGACTCCCAGCATTCCTTGCAATTTACTAGCGCTAATGTGAATTGCAGTCTAATAACATATAGAGCAGTGGTTCTCAACCTGTGGGTCCCCAGATGTTTTGGCCTTCAACTCCCAGAAATCCTAACAGCTGGTAAACTGGCTGGGATTTCTGGGAGTTGTAGGCCAAAACACCAGGGGACCCACAGGTTGAGAATCACTGATCTACAGAATCACATCCTTTCCTTACATTCTACATCTGACACATATACTGTAGTTTAATCACACCATAAAAACACTACTGCCATAATGACCAAATATACAGTATATTCTGGCGTATAAGACTACTTTTTAACCCAAGAAAATCTTCTCAAAAGTCAGGGGTCGTCTTATACATGGGTGTAGTCTTATGCATGGGAGTCGTCTTAACTCTATATTTTAACTGGAAAAGTTGGGGGTCGTCTTATACGCCCAGTCGCCTTATATGCCGGAATATACGGTAGATGTCAGGGTTCGTGCAATCTCTCCCAAAAAGATTAAAATGACATGCACAAAGCTTGTTCCGTCATACCAAGCACGTTTCTGGGGAGAAATCAACCATGGAATACCACAGCCAGAGAAATGGTTTGGATGGACAGCCAACCCAAAGTTGGTTTGATATGTCATCAAAACCAAAAGCATCTGACAAACCACACTTTGAAAATCAGGAAAACATAGTTTAGGCAAATAGGTTGGTACGTCCTTTCTGGTATGCCATACTTTTATAACACACAGAGCACATGTTCCGTCTCCCAGGAGTATGGGTTTTGCATTACCTTTTAGTTGCTGGAAACAGCCTCTCCTTGTGTTTCTCCCAGGCTGCTGCAGCCTCTGCAAGGCCTAAAAGGTGAGCAGCCAGAGGCAGGAAAGCCAGTTTGCAGGCTCTCTGCAATGATTGGCCAAAGAGTAGCTCTTTGGGCTCGCCCCTGCTTCCAGGGTAGAAGCATCCATTTTGGAGGTCTCCCTGCCCCTTCAGTCTTAAGGAAGAATTGGATGTGCTGAAGGCCAAAAAAGGTAGCTCAGAAAAAACCACCGCAAAAACGATTGAGTTAAGCTTAATTGAGTTACAGTTAGGTAAGCTAAATTAAGAACAATTGAGAGTTGAGATAAGTGTAATTGAGATATCATAGTTAGAGAATTGAGAGAAACTAAATTGAGTCATAGATAGAATAGAATTGAGTTTTATAGAGTTTATAGGGAGATAGGCCGTATTGCCTTTTCTCCAAGGCTAGTCTGGAACCTAGATAGTTAGAGAAAGATTGGTTCTTTCTATGGATAAGGGCTCTGGATTAGGGTGAGGGATTCCTGGACCCTCTGCCTCTTGGAGAAGGAATATCTGTTTGATTTTATCTATTGACTGTTTGATTGCAACTTTGAAAGAACTGTACCAAGCCTGCAAGACTTTGAAATAAATATCCTTTTTGATGTTTAGAACTCGCAATAGACTCCATTGTTGATTATCTCAATTTTCTCCAGAAAGCCCCAGCGGTTTGCCCAGACATAGGGACAGCACATCATAGTTTGTTTTATAAAGCGTCTGGGTGTAACGGCACAGCACATCTCTTCCCGCGTCTGCCACAAGGCCAGCAATATTTGTTTTACTTCTCACCTTAGCATTTTACCCAGGATTACAATAGAAAGAAAGAGGTTTTTTTTACTATGTTAGGGAGGGAAATCAGTGGTCTTTCCATATCCTCCAGCTGTTTTGCGAAAAGTGGGGCAGCTTCAGCCCTGTTCTCATTGTGTCTTGTCCTTTTCTGCTCAATGGAGGGAACTAGGCCATGAATCCACCCTGCTGCAGTACAGTGTACAGGGAAGTGGGCTACATGTTCGGTCAGCCTTGAAGCGCTCCCCCCCCCCCCCCCCCCCCCCCCCCCCCGGGCCTCCTGCACAAAAAAAGGCACCTTTTGTCTAGCACACTCACATACAGCTAGAGGAGCTGGGCTGCAGGACAGGAACACAAGGCTTGTTCTGTCGGAAGTTGTTTCGACATCCTGCACCATTTTCCAACGTACTCCTGCTTCTCTCCATTATCACTGTTATCTTCTCGAATGCCCTCTTTGACAGTTTTGCCACAAAAGGCGATCCTTTAGAGCAGAGCTTTCCAAAGGTTTCATGTTGATGACATGCTTTTGAAGCATGCCTCGGTCATTCAGTTTTATTAGCAAGACAGAGGTTAAACCAACCCCTTATAAGAGTTTCATACAATATATATAACATATATGTATTATATATACGTTTCATATAATTACTATATAAACGAGGTTTAATTTTTTTCCTTTCAACTTTTTGTGTCCTACAGTTGATTCTTGTGTAGTTTCCTCTCTTGCTGCTCCATAAGGTTCATCGCTAACATCACTGTCAACAGATTTTAATTTCTTAATTAGAAACTTACCCATTTTAGTGGTAATTACTGCAGCTCAAGTCACAAATTGTGCAAATTATAAAAGTTATAGCAGTACCTACACTTGAACAACACTAGCACTCCACTTCTATAGTGATTAACCTCTCCGGGGGGCTGGATGCCCATTTTTCAGGAGGGCTTTCACTGTGCCTTCCTGAATGGCTGAAGGGGGCTGGACTAGATGCCTTCTAGGGGTTTCTTCCAATGGAGTCGCCTTCTCTGGAGGTTTTTGGACTGAAGCTGGATGGTTGTCTATTAGGAGAGCTTTGACTGTGTCTTCCTGCCTCACTGAAGGGGGCTAGACTAGATGTCGGACTCTCTCTGTCCCAGAGGAAGGCAAGGCCAAGAAAATCTCATAACTTCACCTTAGGGTTGCCATAAGTTGGAAATGACTTAACGGCATACGACGAGTAAGAGAAAACCATGGCAGCCCTTTCTATTAAATCTTGGGACACTTGGTGGCTTTCTCAGCTTTCACTAGTTTCAGTGGGGGAATCTGGACGAATTTTGCATCTTGCTACTTCAGGTTTATTAACTATACTATGCTCAACTGGGCCAGATTTAAACCGCTTTCATGCTGTGCAACTACCTCACTTTGATGCCATTTTAACTGTGGCTCTGGCCTATGGAATCACCTAGTGTGCAGTTTCCAGAGAGTTCCAAATATCTCATGAAATGACAACTTTGGATTGAGTTTGAAGAAGGGCAGCTGCAAGGCCCTGGGCCAAAACATGTTCTCAGTTTGGGCCAAGGCTCTGAATATCACCTGCTTGGAAACCTCTTCTCTTTTTGTTTTGATGTATTGTAAACAGTATCGGCGGTCATCAAAAGGGAAAGGATTTGGAGCAGAAAAACAACATAGGGCTTAATTCAGATCAGGAGCACATTCTGTAGTAGTGTTACTCCTAGTACCCCCTCGATGGACTGTCACCTTGTCGTGGTGAGGGGGCTTGCGCGTTCCGATGAACCTGTAGGCACAACAACTGGAGTCGTGCACTCCCAGGAGTGGCTGCGGGGGAGGTTCCAGACCAAGCACAGTCCGAAGACCCAAAGACCTCAACGGCGGAGCAGGCGGAGGATAACATGGCACATGTTACAACGACTGCGAAGGCGGAAGAAGGCTGCAACAGACTGAGAAGCCACGGTCATTGTGTTAAACTACATCACCAGTGGAACCTCACTCTGTGAAGTCTGTGTGTTGATCAGTTGTGCACTGACCTCCACACATTAAAAAAACCCACGCACAGGCGTCTCCAAAGAAAATAAAAACAAACCAACCAAAGTCCCATGGCGATCAGCGAGTGGCGACGGGGGCAGGACTGTGAAATCTGGAAGCCCCTAGTCACAGACTGGCACATGGGCGGTGGGTACGGACTCAGTCGTTCTACCTCAAGGTCCGAGGCAGTTGAGTAGTTCGGCAGCTGTATCCGCGACTGAGCAGCCCTTTTTAGGACCCACTCTGCTCACCCCACATGGGGAGGGGGCTAGAAAAGGTGCCCTAAACATAGTCTGCCTCACTTATCCCTGACTGGACTGCCGCGTCCAGTGGGGTCACCACCCTGCGGCCAAAAAAGGAAAATGAACTTCGGTACGTGGAACGTACGGACTCTGATGGACAACAGTGGCAGTGAACGCCCCGAACGCAGAACTGCCATCATGCAAGGGAGCTGGGACGCTTCAACATCGACATAGCAGCCCTTCAGGAGACCCGGAGAGCAGGAGAGGGACAGCTGAAGGAAGAAAAAGGAGGCTACACCTTCTTCTGGAAGGGACTGCCCGAAGAAGACCAAAGAATGCACGGAGTTGGCTTCGCCATCAGAAATGATCTGATGAAACATCTGCCGAAGCACCCACTGGCATCAACGAACGACTCTCAACCCTCCGAATCGATCTTGCCAAAAACCAACGGGCAACCATCATAAGTGCCTATGCACCAACACTAGATGCTGACGAAGACATCAAGGAGAAATTCTACTGTCAGCTGGACACCGTCCTATCGGGGATACCTAAGGAGGACAAAATCATCCTCCTGGGGGACTTCAATGCAAGAGTCGGGCGAGACTTTGACCTGTGGCCAGGGACCATCGGAAAAGACGGGGTTGGAAACAGCAACTCAAATGGCATCCTGCTTCTCACCAAATGTGCGGAGCACAACCTTGTCATCACCAACACGCTCTTCCGCCAGAAAAACAAGTTCAAGACATCATGGAAGCACCCCCGGTCAAAGCATTGGCACCTCTTAGACTATGTAATCACACGCGCCAGAGACCGCCGTGACGTGCTCCTCACAAGAGCCATGACAGGTGCTGACGACTGCTGGACTGACCACAGGCTAATTCGATCCTCGATGGCTATCAAGATCGCTCCCAAGCGCAGACTCCAAGGAAGGAAGACAAGGCGCAAAATGAACACCCAAGCCCTTCAGGAGCCCTCTAGACGAGCCCATCTCCAAACAGCACTCAAGAACCATCTACCCACAGAACACCCCGAAAATGTCGAGGAACATTGGAACAAACTGAAGACCTCCATCATCCAAGCCTGCGAAGAAACTATTGGATACCAAGCCAAGAAACATCAAGACTGGTTTGATGAAAATGACATCGAGATCCAACAGCTAATTGACAAGAAAAGGAAAGCCTTCCAAGCATGGCAGAGAGACATCAACTGTGCTGCTAAGAAAAAGATCTATGCCAGTGCAAAAGCTGAGGTCCAAAGAAGGACAAGAGAGCTCAAGAACATCTGATGGACAAAGAAGGCCGAAGAAATCCAACACCTGGCAGATACCCATAATGCTCAGGGATTTTTCAAAGCCACAAAGGTCATCTACAGGACCAAGAAACCATGGCATACAGCCTCTACGCTCATCAGATGGAACCAAACTCCTGAAGGACCAAAACTCAATTGCACTACGTTGGAAAGAACACTACCAAAGCCTCCTGAACCGCAGCTCCAATGTGGCCGAAGAGGTCCTCTCACAAATCCCACAACAACAAACCAGGGATGAGCTTGCAGCACTGCCCAGTTTGGAAGAAGTCAGCAATGCCATCAGCCAACAGAAGAATAACAAAGCCAGTGGACCAGACGGGATCCCTGCTGAAATCTTTAAAGAGGGAGGACCTGAGCTGACACACCAACTCCACCAGCTCATAGAAAAAGTGTGGGTGACCGAGAAAATCCCAGCAGATTTCAAGGACGCCACCATCATCACCCTCTTCAAAAAAGGGGAAAGAACAGACTGCGGAAACTATCGAGGTATCTCCCTTCTAACCTCCGCTGGGAAAATCCTCGCAAGAATCCTTGCAAACCGCCTTCTGCCCCTCTCAGAAGACACCCTCCCAGAATTCAGAATGGCTTCCGCCCCTCCAGAGGAACAGTGGACATGATCTTCACTGCACGACAGCTCCAAGAAAAATGCAGAGAACAAAACCAACCTCTGTACATGGCATTCATCGACCTTGCAAAGGCATTCGACACAGTGAATCGCAGCGCTCTCTGGACCATCCTCCAAAATCGGGTGCCCAAGCAAATTTGTGAACATCCTGCGGCTCCTCCATGATGACATGATGGCAACAGTCTTGGACAGCAGTGGCTCCCAAAGTGACCCATTTAAAGTGGAATCCGGTGTCAAACAAGGATGTGTTATTGCCCCAACTCTATTCTCCATCTTCATCGCTATGATACTTCACCTTGTTGATGGGAAGCTTCCCACCGGAGTGGAAATAATCTATCGGACAGATGGCAAGCTATTCAACCTCAGCAGACTGAAAGCCAAAACCAAGGTTACAACAACATCTGTTATAGAACTCCAGTATGCTGATGACAATGTCGTCTGTGCGCATTCAGAAGAAGATCTACAAGCCACTCTAAACACCTTCGCAGAAGCATACGAGAAGCTCGGCCTGTCACTGAACATTGAAAAAACCAAGGTGCTTTTCCAGCAGGCACCAGCCAACCCCTCTCCAATGCCAGTGATACAGCTTAATGGTGTAACATTAGAAAATGTTGATCATTTCCGCTACCTTGGCAGCCACCTCTCCACCAAAGTCAACATTGACGCCGAAATACAACACCGCCTGAGCTCTGCAAGTGCAGCATTTTTCCGAATGAAGCAGAGAGTGTTTGAGGACCGGGACATCCGTAGGGATACCAAGGTGCTTGTTTATAAAGCTATTGTCCTCCCAACCCTGCTATATGCCTGTGAGACATGGACTGTCTACAGACGTCACATGCAACTCCTGGAACGATTCCATCAGCGCTGCCTCCGGAAAATCCTGCAAATCTCTTGGGAAGACAAGCGGACAAACGTCAGTGTGCTGGAAGAAGCAAAGACCACCAGCATTGAAGCGATGGTCCTCCAACATCAACTCCGCTGGGCCGGCCACGTTGTCCGGATGCCTGACCACCGTCTCCAAAGCAGTTGCTCTACTCCGAACTTAAGAACGGAAAACGGAACGTTGGTGGACAGGAAAAGAGATTTAAAGATGGGCTCAAAGCCAACCTTAAAAACTCTGGCATAGACACTGAGAACTGGGAAGCCCTGGCCCTTGAACGCTCCAGCTGGAGGACAGCTGTGACCAGCAGTGCTGCAGAATTTGAGGAGGCACGAGTGGAGGGTGAAAGAGTGAAACGTGCCAGGAGGAAGGCGCGTCAAGCCAACCCCGACCGGGACCGCCTTCCACCTGGAAACCAATGCCCTCACTGCGGAAGAAGATGCAGAGCAAGAATAGGGCTCCACAGCCACATACGGACCCACAAGGAAATCCATAATGGAAGACCATCTTACTCGTCCAACGAGGGATCGCCTAAGTAAGTAAGTAAGTACTCCTAGTAGTAGTCATCTCCTTTCCTTTGACGCATTTTCAGACATTGGTAGGTAATGTAAGGCAAGCAAATAACCCTACTTAAATGGTCATGGTTGCTGGAAGACTGACCTGATCTTCAGTCGGGAAAAAGCCCATCGCTCGCATGACGGAAGGAATCTGTTCCAGCGGGATGTGCGTAGACACCTTTCTGGGCTCCATGGTGTTGATCCCTTGGTGGATCAACTGAGCATAATAAAAATAATCTTCCAGTTCCTGGAAGCACATAAAATGCACAACAACTACTTTGAGTCATGGTTTAGAATACAAATCCAGTGACCTGCAAGATTATAAAATACATGTGTCCTTCCTAGCAAAAGGGAGTGGACTGAATGGCTTTGGGGGGTCTCTTTCAACATTAAGAGTACAATGATGAGGGATAATAATGGATATCTATCTTCTAATTCTATCTTCCTTTTTGGCAGAGTGGGGTTGGACTGAATGCCCCCCTGGGATCCCTTCCAACTCTAGAAATATAATAATAATAGTAATAGTAATAATAATAATAATAATAATAATAATAATAATAATAATAATAATAATAATAATGGGCTAGATGGCCCTTGTGGGTTTCTTCCAACTTATTATTATATTATTCTACGCAAAATTCCCTTGGGGGAAAACACATGGAAGTCTAACTAGACCTGAAAACAGGGAACTATGCTGAAATATGTGTGGATGAGCCTTCAAGGCGCCTGTCAACTTACGATGATCTCATGAATTCCTAGGGTTTTCTTGGGCAAGGAATCCTCAGAGATGGTTTTGCCAGGCCCTTCCTCTGAAATAGAGCCTATAGCAGCTGGTTTTCCTTTGACCGTTTCCCATCCAAGTCCCAACCAGGGCTGCCCCTGCTTAGCTTGCAAGATCAGGTAGGACCTGGTGCCTATATTGAGGCCATATATTGGAGATAGTGAATATAATACAATAGTCTTGAGGTTCAAATAACCTCCTATCACCTGTGTGCAATACTAATAATAATTGTTGGAGATCTCTGATATACTGATGCATGAACATGACAGAAAGAGCTTTCCCTGTCAGGGTACCCAAACATTTCCCATTGCATGGCTTGGTGTTATCTCTGTTAGTGAGGTGCTGGTGGTGTGGTGGAATCTGCCCTCCTGTTTTCAAGATCATATTGATGACCCTTTGCATGGTTTGTACACTGGATGTCGATCTCCACATTTAAAACAAAAAAACATTTCTGGATTTGTGGTGATGTGTCTTGTATTGCTTTTCTCAGCCTGCCATAAGCTGCCAGGAGAGCATTCCCACTGAAAAGCGGCGTATAAATCCTGCCAAGACAGGAGCAGTCCAACCTTTAAATTACCTTGAAAAACAGGCCTTCTCTGCCACCCTCCAGGAGGTTGTAGAACGGGATTAAATCTTTCCCGCCCAGAAAGACAACGGCTTCTAGGGCGCTAGAGAAGGAACAATGCAAATGGCGTGTGAGTCAGGAGAATAATGGCGATAGCATTTAGGTCCCTGTTTCGAAAGAAAGGCAGGAAATCAATCAGTTGGTCGATCAATCGAGAGACGGCTCCCAGGGGCCTTTGGAAATGAGCTAGAGGGACTCAGCAAATGCATAGGTAACAACAGGCTTGATCAGTCACTTTACATTCAAACAATGTCTTAATTCAGAAAATTCTGTCTGAATGCTATACTTCATTGTGTTTTAGGTGTACATTTTCAATCATGGTATAAACAGTTTTGGGCCCTAGTTCACAATGAATCAGTCCATAGAATGAATACCCTCCAGTATGATGTCTCCTTAGTATACATGGATATGTGTGGTTTTCTAAGGTGACAAGCGCCAGACTCTGAATCTTGGTGCATATGGACTATATGTGGTTATGTCACGATTGTGGCTTCGTAGATCAGTTATTGTTATTATTATTATTATTATTATTATTATTATTATTATTATTATTATTATTTTGGGCATTTCTATCCCATCCTTCTCATCTCCAAAGAGGGACTCAGGACAGCTTACAGCAGGCAGTCATTAGATGCCAGATATCATGAGAAAAACAATTCCCCAGCATGCCTTCAGAAGCATACTACCAATTTGTCATTTTACATTTAATCAAGATGATGATGGTGGTGATGATGATGATAATCATACCTTCGTACTGGTAGCACACCTCTAAGAGCAAAAAGAGACAATGGTGGCTAACGTGGTGGCATTTTGCCTTCCTTATTCCTCCAATCTCACAAAAAACTAAACATTTAGACCTGGGCACTTGCATCCTGGATGGGACCCCACCTTGTGCAAGTCACACTTTTTTTTTGGGGGGGGGGGCGATTATTAAGTTATCTTTGGACATTAAATATTGTGGCGATATGGAAGACACCAGCAGCAGCCGAAATGCCTCTAATTAGCTGGCAAAAGTGCTTCCCTCCATCAACAAATTACAGCAGCATTCAGGGCTGCCTGGATCCCAGCCAAGAATTATAAAACAGGATCATTTATATTCTGCCGCCTTCCTGGGAGCCTTGCTCAGGCCAGGCCTCCAACTGATGCAGCCACGGAGATGATGGGGCATCAGGGAAAAGAAACCACGGCACAAAAGCTTTCTTGCTATGATGCCCATTGCTTCCCCTTGCTGTGTTACAAGTGAGATGAACGTACTTAAAGCTGGCTCCGAATGGAGCATTTTCGCCCTTGCCTTTGCCTGAACTGCCACAGCTGGGCAGAAAGTAGGGCTGGGCGGTTTCGTTTTGTTAATTCGTAATTCGTTAATAATTTGTTAATTTTTTCAATTACAAAA